TGTAGATCCTATTGCTTCCATTTTTATTGTTACTTGTTATTTGAAACAGTAGCCAGTGTTATTAAGAGCTGTGATCCATAGGTTTGTTGTCCTCACATGGCCCAACCTCTGGGCATTAGGCTTACACAAGTGACCACTCCCACTGTATGGCTTGAAGGCCAGACGCATACAAACACTTATTTGTGGTGACACTCCTTGCCTCCCTTTTACAATGTTATTATCTCTTTCTGCTTTTCTTTCTTTCTTCTTTTTTTTTCCCATATCTATATTTGTAATTTTATTCACTGAATGGTAAGGGACTGTTTTGCATGCACAGACTCCATATCATCTCACCATAACTCAATGGAATAATAATAACAATAAGTATACTTTAGTTGTTTGCTTCATTTTAAAATATTTTTTTTCATAATGTTCAATTTTCTGTAGTACAACCTTGCATTGCCAGTCATATTGAACATAGATAGTATCCTGAGCAAAGAACTAGTGGTCCACAGATGATACATTCCACACTTCTTTACCAATAGGAATAATACAAGAGCCTCTTCCTAAATGAGTCACATCATCTGGATCTAAGGGGGTCACACTAGTTTATGTATGGGTGAAAAATGAAACAGATAAATTGGAATATAGTATATGCAAGTATATTCTATACTTGTATATAAGTATCTTCTTAAAGAGCAATATTATAGATTTACTAAATATGACAAAGTAATTTATATACGCATTGATATCTTTTAGTCAAATGATCTCGGCTTTTTCTGTGATAACTCAGAACATGATTTTTCTGCATCTTTTATCATTTTGGTCTAAAAACTTTTGGATGAACTTTCGAGGGATTTTCATTTGTTTTAGTTGGATCTTTATGTATTTATACTATCTATCAATCTCTCTATATGTTTGTTTATGTTTAATTTTTATTTGTTTATTTATTTATTTATTTATTTTTAAAATCCTGAAAAGGATTCTTTTCAATTGACATTGTAATACATTTTCTGCAGCTATTACACAATTATGAGATAAAAATTTAAGAAAGTAAAATGGAGATCCCTTGGAGAAAGATTTGTTCAACAGGATTGAGACCAATCTTCTTCCTTGATTTTAAATTACCCCCAGAGCTAATGGAGGGGAGTTCCCTTAAAAATAACGTTTCTAAGTAGATGAAGGAGACGAAGGATACAAATTAAGAAAGTGAAAATCAGTATAAAAAAATCCCTTAGGGATAGGTATATGTACAGTCCACTGTATTTTTGTGTGAATTCTATAGCACACAGAATGTTCCACAATTACTCTTCCACCAAGGAGTCAATTAGTAGGTCTTACATAACTTCAAATAATTTCCCCATTTTTTTTGGAAATGCGAAAAAAAATCCTGATGCTATTACCCACTGTCTGCGGATGATGTGTAGTACATGTCATGATTCTATATTACTAGTAGTTCCCATCGTGGCTGACCTGGTCATTGTTCAATATTACTTGTATTTCCCATCATGGCTGACTTGTAGCTTTGGAGGATGGATCATTCACATTGTGTTACTATGATCCATACATTACATTTATACTGTTCTTTATAAGGTACCCTCATGTCCATGCATCACTTGCCCTGGGACTTTGGCTGAGGGAGAACAGAACAAGCATTGTTCAGATTGGCAACAAAAGGGTCAATATATAGAGCATAGATCATTTTCCTGCTATCCCTACAAGATGTCAAGCATCAAAGATATTGGACTCTTGTAACCTTCAGTTTATTTTACATGATCAGTCACCTTGTGTTAACTACTCACACTACTCACGTATGACTCTCTGCCAGTGCGACTGTTTTGAAGTATTATTGACATGTTTATTTCAGTATTATTAGAATCCTAATAATGATAATAAAGGAAGAAGAATCTAAAAAAATCAAGGAAATCACAGTGGATTTTACATGTATGTACAATGGGTTAACCCATGATCCCATTTGAAAAAAAAAAAACTAGTTCACTATAATTTTAGTTTATTAATAGTGTTCATACTCTTTTGGCTCCATGAGTGCTTAGTCTCCAAGGAGACAATTATTAGTCCTGTCTAGCTCACCTGTTTACCCTTTTTCGTGATATTTGGAAAGATACTTTTTATCATTATACTCTTCTTATTGTTAGTATATAGTATTGACATAATAATGTAAATAATAATAATCACAGTATCAGTATTAATAGTACTAGAAAAAACTAATTCAAATACAAGGGAAGAGAGTACCTATTGACTCCTTGGCTGAGCGCTTGTAAAGCAATGTGTGCAAATTACCATAATACTACAGTGGGCAGTACATTAATCTGCAGCTGATAGGTTCACAGAAGAGAAAGTAATTTTCACAGACCATGAAAGAAATGTATTTGTAAAGTTTAAGGTATATCGAGATTTACTTTATTATTATTGATATTGCTCATAGTAGTTTTTTTGTCATTATTTTTTTTTTGTGTGTGTGTGTTTGTAGCATTATTACTACTATTATTATGGCTATTATTACTATTATTACTACAACTATAACAACACTACTACTACTACAACTACACTTCTACTTCTACTACTACTACTACTACTACTACTACTACTACTACTACTACTACTACTACTACTACTACTACTACTACTACTACTACTACTACTACTACTACTGGTGCTGCTGCTGCTGCTGCTGCTGCTGCTGCTGCTGCTCTTGCTACTACTACTACGACTACTACTGCTCTTGCTACTACTGCTGCTGCTGCTGCTTCTACTACTACTACTACTACTACTACTACTACTACTACTACTACTACTACTACTACTACTACTACTACTACTACTACCACCACTATTACTACTACTACTACTACTACTACTACTACTACTACTACTACTTCACTAAAACAACTACTACTACTACTACTACTACTACTACTACTACTACTACTACACTAAAACAACAACAACTACTACTACACTAAAACAACAACAACTACTACTACTACACTGAAACAACAACTACTACTACTACTACACTACTACTACTACTACTACTACTACTACTACTACTACTACTACTACTACTACTACTACTACTACTATTACTACTACTATTACTACTACTACTACTACTACTACTACTACTACTACTACTACTACTACTACTACTACACTAAAACAACTACTACTACTACACTTCTACTACTACTACTACTACTACTACTACTACACTACTACTACTACTACACTACTACTACAACTACTACAACTACTACAACTACTACACTAAAACAACAACAACTACTACTACTACACTTCTACTACTACTACTACTACTACTACTACTACTACTACTACTACACCACCACCACCTTCAACCTCTTGCTTCCTCTCTCCCTTTTCCTTTCTCTCTTCTTTTCCCCTTCACTTTCCCTCTTACTTTCCCTTATTCTCTCTTTCTCTTTCCCAAATTTTCCTTAAATTCACTGCCCTCCTCCCCCACCTCTCCCCCCCCCCCTTTATCCTCTTCCCTCCTATACCCACACCCCTTTTCTCTCCTCCCCCCTTCTCCTCCCCCCTCCCCCACCATTTTCTACTGTAAGGAGAGGGGATAGATGAAAAATCATAACCATAACCTTAATAGTATCGATACTATTATGATAATGGTAATTATAATGGTGATGCTAAAGATAATGATGATTTTAATAGGATTCAAGAGAGAGAGAGAGAGAGAGAGAGAGAGAGAGAGAAATATTTATGTTGTCAATTCTCACCCCATTTTACATAAAAATTAAAGCAACTACAACACCACAGTCACATGAAATACCTTCTCTGGCTTAGTGAGCCTAGTTTACATTAAAATAAATAACATGAACTCTAGTTACATGGAAATACAAGCAAAATTATGATGAAGATAATTGTTATGATTATGATGATATTTATTATTATTATTAATATTATTATTATTATTGTTGTTGTTTTGTTGCTGTTATTATTATTATTATTATTATTATTATTATTATTGTTACCATTATTATTATTGTTGTTAATACCATTATTATATTATTATTACTACTACTGTTACTGTTACCTCTATTTTCTCATTAATTTTTTCATTTCTAACAGTAATCCTAAATCTTTGTTTATAGAGTTATTTCGGCACCTTTTATAGCTTCTCATATATAACACAAGGAGATGTATACCATATCCAAGTCAGGTATTTGGAAAATCAACTATTTGGTTATCTCCCTCAGTTTAGTATCAAAAGGTGCATGATTGTAATACGCATGTATAAAAATGTTAAAAATCTTGAATAAGGTAGTTTACCTGCCACCCTCCCTGTGATGGTCCTCCTATGCTTTTATCTTTAATCTTTAATACTTCAAATAAGTTAAATCTAGGGGAGGGTTTTGATACAGTTAAAATGTAATCTTAATTTGTCTTACCTTGAATGAAATTGTGATACAATCATACAAATGTCACTGACTGTAAGTAGTGATTGTGTTTTTTAAATTACCTATCAACATATTGAATGGCTATTGATAAGAACTAGCCAATTGCAGTTGTGAAATATACTCCATGATAAAAATTAGATATCATAATGTGAATGTGCTAGTGATAAAAGCTCTTCCTTTCACATTCTCACTCTCCCTCCCTCCCACTCCTACCTCCCTTTCCCCCTTCTTCCCTCCTTCCGTCCATTTCCATTCTCCTTATTCCTTCCTTTTCCTTCTCTGTCTTCCTCCTTTCTTCCCTTTCCCTTTCACTCCCTCCCCATGCCTTCACTACATAAATATTTCTCTCTCTCTCTCTCTCTCTCTCTCTCTCTCTCTCTCTCTCTCTCTCTCTCTCTCTCTCTCTCTCTCTCTCTCTCTCTCTCTCTCTCTCTCTCTCTCTTCTTCATCAGAATGTGAAAAATTTGTCCATTTTGACTCTGTTTTTTTATAGTTAAACCTTTATGTGAATAGTGAATATTATTTTTATTTTTAAATATAATTGACATCTTAATTCATTTTCAG